TGGAGAGAGTGGACAACCCTGACGGACAACACTCGAAGTAGAGAACTCCGATGACAGTTCGCCATAAGTTCCCACTCGACCTGTCGGGTTCAAGTAGACAGCATGTATCAGTTTAATATATACTTATTTGGTACGCCTTTTAATGACAGACACTGCCACAGAGCCTCACGATCAGCAGAGTCGAGTGCCGCCTTAAGTTCGAGAAATACTACTATTGTGAGGCGTCTGAACGTGTGTCTTTGTTCTAGGACCTGTAGTATTGTGAATATTTGGTCTATACAACCACGTCCAGGTCGAAAACCAGATTGGTTTTCTCGAGTTTGCTCTTCACGAGCTTTCGTTAAGCGTCGAAGTATTACTGAGGTCAATATTTTAGATACTATATTAGTTAGACATTCCCCTGTGATTGCCACAAGAAGACTTTTGTCCTTTTATGTAAATTGGGACAGTCAGCGATTGAGACCAGTCAGATGGGATTACGTTCAGTTCCCAGATTCTAACTATAATCCCTGTCAGCTTGTCTGTTACTAACTGATAACAGTGAAATATGATACATAAAACTACTTTAACTTACCTTGGTAGATTGCCTATTTAACAATTCCATAACCTCCTCTCGTATTCGTTTACTTTCTTTTTCTCGTGTAGTCTCAGCGCCTAATAGGTTTTCTAAATCAAGTTCCATTTTTTGACTTGTATCTTTTATAACATTTTGACGTTTACTAGATTTATCACAGAGTATACGTCTATTTATATCTGGCATTAACTCATCATCTCGACATTGTTTTTTTGTGTCAGAAAACATTGAGTTTTGGTCACGATCTACAAGCATCGTTTCTGAACATAATGATGTATGGATTATGTGTTGATGAGAGGTCTTCAATAGTTGAACACTGTTATGCAGTAAATAAAGTTATACAACACAATATGATGTAATATACGATTTAATTTAGGAAATAAAATGGTTATATATATATATATATATATATATATATATATATATATATATATATATGAATAGCTATATTTGACGGAATCATAGTGTAAGCCACTCTAAAGCACAGGTAATGAAATATAATATTATACTAAGGTACTCAAAAGTAATAGGTAAATTAAATAACTTAGGTAAACAGGAGATAGGTCTCTAAACAAATAACCCAATCGTTGATACCATGCCTAAAAGTTGGACCGAAAATTGTAAATTGATTGGAGTAACCTACCAACTAATTCCATCTAATCGCTTATAAAATCGAATCATGTTTATTTGCATGTTCATATTCTGTACATAAAAGCACGTTATTTTATTGCATAAAAAGTCTATTAGTCAGATTAGTGATCATGTCCTATATTTGTAATCATAAGGGGGCTACCGTAAGTAATACAGCCTCATGAGTAGATATCACTCGGCCACAAATCACACGATCTTATTTATCTGCCAATTAGAATTTTAATCATTGATCTAAACAGTTGAGTTTTAGTCTAATCAAATAATTCAGAAAACCTTCATAACAGCTAAACGTTTCAAACAGTAAAACTGAGTGACCTGAATTATATTATACCGAGGGCCGTTAATTACCAAAAGATTGTAAGTATAGTGGTGCGAGCTACTTATAAGTAGTATATGACGTGAGTGTCAACGTAATGTCTGGCAACAGAAGATGGGGGAAGATCAAGAAAGAAAGAGTTAGAACACAATGGAATTTGTATGAAACGCATGAATAGTGACAATGGATTGATGTTTTGCAACAGGAACAGTCCAGTTCTATATGATGAACTGATATTTTGCAAATTAACAATTTACGATATGGTTTTCCGATTTTACTGAGTAACTGCAATTTTCGTTAAATACAATTCGGTTGCCCCACCTGTGTTCTCCTTCACTACATTTGGTGTCAGTCTGCTCGAAGGAATCAGCTCCAGTGGCCGAAGGAGTTGGAGGACGGAGATTTGCGGAGCTTCCTGGAGGAGTTTGAGGCCGCGATGGAGCTGGTGGGGGCCCGGGCGGAGTTGGCGGTGCTGGGGGCGCTGCGGGGAGGTGGGGCGAAGGCGCTATACGACAGCCTGGACGGTGCCGCCGGGAAGACGGCGTGGGGGACGGTCACCGGGCGGCTGATGACGGAGTTCGACAGCCCGGTGGACAGGAAGGAGGCGCCGCAGAGGTTCCGATTGGCGAGGATGTCGGCTGATGGTGACCCGTTGGTGGTGGCTGTGGAGCTCACGATGTTGCTGCGCCGTACGCTGCCGAGTATGGATGGGGAGTCGGGGGCACAGTTGTTGACGTCGCGATTTATCGAGAGTCTGCCTGCCGTCGTGTCCCAGCAGCGGGAACTAGTAAACGCTACACGTTGGATAGATGCCGTACCCATTCGAGACCAGCGGGCAAGAACAATGACCGAAGTAGTAATTCGGCATATTGTAGCGCGTCACAGAATACGGAAGGTGATATTAACTGACCAGGGTCCCTGTTTTGAAAGTGACGACAGCTTATTAAAAGGGGGGACGAGTGTGGTGCGAGCCACTCATAAGTAGTATATGACGTGAGTGTCAACGTAATGTCTAGCAGCAGAAGATGGGGGAAGATCGAACCTTAACCTCTTGCATTATCGCTAATACTGTAGTGAAGGAGAACACAGGTGAGGGCAAAATTACAGAGTTACTCAGTAAAATCGGAAAACCATATCGTAAATTGTTAATTTGCAAAATATCAGTTCATCATATAGAACTGGACTGTTCCTGTTGCAAAACATCAATCCATTGTCACTATTCATGCGTTTCATACAAATTCCATTGTGTTCTAACTCTTTCTTTCTTGATCTTCCCCCATCTTCTGTTGCCAGACATTACGTTGACACTCACGTCATATACTACTTATAAGTAGCTTGCACCACAATACTACTACTACATTTACTACTATGGGATTTGAATTGACAATTGAATGTCTGTGTGGTAATGTGTTGATGGCAGCTTGAACTGATAGGCGTATGTTTGAAGTTCTACGTTTTTGTAGCTGGCTGACTAACTGAGCTAGGTTGAATCATCACGATAGGCAAGCCCGACATCAAGGTAGCAGCCACGGTCGGGGGGCTTTTACTTTCATACTATGAAAATCACAAATTTATATATGGGGCATAAAAATAGTTCAAAATTTTAGTTCAGGAAATTAAACCACCTGTAGCTGGCTCACAGCTTCATCAATAAAACATATTCTCAATCCGTAATTGGCAAGTATATGTGAACTGATAAATCTCTTTGAAGACCACATTAGTGAGGTTAAACAATAGGTTTTGTTTATTTGAAAGGGAATAAATTCAGCCATTACGCCTTCTTCACAGAAATACGTTGATTTGATGAATTGAACTCACGTAACTCGATTATTCAGTTATTCTGCATGTTATTTTTGCGCACGCTACAGTCATTAGCAGTGAACCGTGCTGGTGTGAATAGCAAATGTAATGTCCGATATAAATAAAATCAGTTGACTTAACCTTTAATTACTGAAAATTTGCTTCCAACTTCAATGAGTATAAGATCTTGTGCACCAAGTGATCGGTCTTAGAAATTCTGTGTTTTTAGGTTTTAAAATATGATTTAAGGCAGCGACAGTTCATTACAGACTGATTGTCGTACTCCAAATAATGATTTTAACCTCTTTCTTATTGATTAGCATGTCTTCTACTGCTTTCTTCTAGATATTATAAGATCAATAACATACAATACATACGAACTTTTGGAGAGACAGTAGAAGCTGTCATACAGTCCCTGCGGACTAGCACAGTTGAATTGTTTTTATTGCATATCGTTAGCTTTTATTAGGCCTGCACAATGTATGGAGCTAGAATACTATTTTTAACAAGCATTGTAGAACCATGATTTCCGTGTGAAATCTTATGATAAAGCCCGGCTACCTTAAGTATAGTGTGTAGTGGAATGCTTCTACGAAGAAAATGCGATTGGTGGAAAGGAAACATTTACTATTGTACTACTTTTGTTTAACTGTACTAAAAACACTTACTTACGAGCAACTTTTTGTTTGTGTTGCTGTCATCATTCTTTACATGCTGCTCATTACGTCGCCTATTTTGTTGTTGTAAATTCGGTGTTCTCTCGACATCACGAAATCATCAGCAAATATATTATTTACCCTGGATTTATAGATCACATAATATGACGGGCTAGTAATTAGTATTTATTGGTGATAGTAGTCAATCTTGACTCGGTCGCCACTAAAAGTGGATGACACAATCCAAATACAAGATCAACTGAATAAAGTTCAACTATGGAGCAACTATACGTTATTTTTAGTTTTCGATACTACATTTAGAAGCTCAAGCGTAAAAACTTTATTTGCTAATTAGGTATAGCAGCTGAATTACTTACCTCGACTGTCCAAGTTTTGATTTTTCAATATCAGCTGATAAGATTTACCAACAATTATTTCAGACCAATACAGAAAGTATAATCAATAAAAAAACAAATGAGTAAAGACTGTTAAAGTTAACTGTAGATCATTAAAATAAAATAAATAAATAAATAAATAAAATTAAATAAAATAAATAAATTAAAAAATAAAATAAAATAGAAACAGCTTGGTACATAAAATAGTGAAAATCGTGTCATAAAAAAATACCAGAAACGTGTGATCAATGACACTAGCTAACCGAATTTTCACGGTAAGAATGGTAAACAGTTGATAAGCTCATATCATTAAGAACGAAAAGAAATAGCCCACGCCTAGTTTTTAATAAGCTAGTTGATCAAGTTGTTATTTTCTGTAGTTGATATTCAAAACTAACTCACTATAAATCTCTAACCAGAAATAACAATTCAAACCGTTTGGACTCTGCCCTGTGAATTAGATCTTCATTCAAAATAATTAGGACGCTTCATAATGAAAACCAAATTTCTTCGAAAGTCGCGAGGCCGATGCCTTATCTGACAACCAAGGCAACAGTTAACTTCAGATGAAACGGAGAACTTAGTACATAAGTACATCAGTTCATGTTGCCATACCACATCAGCACAGAGAAGTAATCGTCAATTCAAATCCAATAGTAGTAGAGGTAGTAAAGGTATTAGAAGTAATCAGAGAGGTTAGGATGAGAAGATATTATGCACGAAGTTTGATTTAATGAGAAAAGTTTAGAAAGTCAAAACTAGAGATGTTGAAGAATCCAGAAGATTAGGGTTTGAGAGAACATAAAGAATAAGTGCACCGGCGCCACTGCGAACAATTTTGAGCCATGTCATTCAAGGTCTCTAACCGTCGATTATTATCATCTCGCGGACCCCAAACAGGTAGTCGACAATCACCGACATGACTCAGTCCATTCGTCAATGACTTCATGGATTTGTGCCATGTTTTGGTCTGGCCGCCCCTAGCTTTCTTCCAACCTATTCCTACACTACAAAACAAAGTAGACAGCATGTATCAGTTTAATATATACTTATTTGGTACGCCTTTTAATGACAGACACTGCCACAGAACCTCACGATCAACAGAGTCGAGTGCCGCCTTAAGTTCGAGAAATACTACTATTGTGAGGCGTCTGAACGTGTGTCTTTGTTCTAGGACCTGTTGTTAGAAAGTGTCGATTGAAGGTGCTTAGTGTAGGCTGTAACCTGGACAAGAGCACACGTAAGGTGCATTTTGCATAGGAGCACCAGGGGTGTTCCTTCTAATGACATTCATAAAATGTTACATATTTTATTTGCAATAGACAAACTCATAATAAGTAAACTAAATCAATGACTTACATGAATTATCAGGTAAATTACAACTGTTATTCGGTTGGTTAAAATCCGCAGACGCATTTTGTGATTTGTTACGTGAACACTTCCCAATATCATCAATGATACTAATTGATGGATTAAATAATCCTGATAAAGAAGTTATATGGGATTGAGTATAGACTGAACGTGAATCAGATGACACACTAGTTATATTACTATCAATGTGTTTCCGTTTCAATGCATTTTCGATGATAAAAACGGTTGACTGGTTAGCACTAAAAGGTTTGCCAAGTGGACCAATTTCAGTACTGATGTTAGTTGGAAGTAGGGTAGTAGAAGACGAAGTTTTAGTGAAATGAGTAACGGAAGCTAAAAGTTGGCGTCTTGCAGCTAAACGTTCGCGTAAAGAATTCTGTTTGGCTTTAGCTGCTTCAACAGGATCTAAGGCCGAATTGTCAGTTGAAACAGGAGTAGTAGCGTGTTTGTGAGACATTTTCGACATTCCTACATAAAAGTTGAGAAGGAAATGATTAGCGCATGACTGTTAAACAAGATAAATAAGTTGTTTTGCTGCAACTTGAATATTTATTGTTAAATCAATAGGGGGAATATCGAACTAAAAACAACTTCCACCACACGAAAGTAATGAGATTTAATTAGGATATTGAGAAGACGCAGTTCATCTGAAAAATGTGATGCTTTTGCGCAATACACCACGAACAATCTGACCATACATATACTTGTCCAGCCACTTGATAGGAACAATGACAGAAGGTCAATTAAATAAAAGTAAAAATATAAAGTGATAAATGTGGATGAAGGAATTTGAGAAGTGTTAGTCGGGGTCGAAGTCAGTAACAACGCAGAAATTCGTACGTATGTACATCAGTTCAGGTTGCCATATCACATTAATACAGAGACGCAATCGTCAATTCAAATCCAATAGTAGTAGAGGTAGTAAGGGAATTAGAAGTAATCGGAGAAGTTAGGGTCAGAAGATACTATTCAAGAAGTATGATTCAGTGAGAAAAGTTTAGAGAGTTGAAACTAGAGGTGTTGAAGAATCCAGAAGATTAGGGTTTGAGAGAACATAAAGAATAAATGCACCGGCGCCACTGCGAACAATTTTGAGCCATGTCATTCAAGGTCTCTAACCATCGATTATTATCATCTCGCGGACCCCAAACAGGTAGTCGACAATCACCGACATGACTCAGTCCATTCGTCAATGACTTCATGGATTTGTGCCATGTTTTGGTCTGGCCGCCCCTAGCTTTCTTCCAACCTATTCCTACACTACAAAACAAGGCTCGACGAGGCAGTCGGTGGTTGGACATACGCAACACATGTCCCAACCACCTCAACTGATGAAGTTTCAATATTTCATCGATTGATCTGCCATTCTTACCTAGTACTCGTTTCCTAACGACAGCATTGCTTACTCGGGTGTCCCACGGTATACGAGCAATGCTTCGAAGACATCGATGATCGAAAACCAGTAACCTACGAATATCTTCTACTCTCACTGGCCATGTTTCACAGCCATAAAGTAAGACGGAGCGAACCACTGCGCAGTACACTCGTCCTTTAGTCAGCAAAAGGATATCTCGCCTACACCATAAGTGACGCAGGTTGGCAAAAGCCAATCGAGCCTTCTGTATCCGTGCCGAGATTTCGTCAGTCACCAGGCCATCAGCACTGATGAGACTCCCAAGATGAGTGAACCGGTCTACACGTTCGACTACTTCACTCCCTATCACTAGTTCAGGTGCCGATGAAACCCAATCTTGAAGTAACATTTTGCATTTCGAGGGGGAAAACCGCATCTCGAACATGCTTGCATTGTTGCTTAGGGTAGTCAGAAGACTCTGCATTTTGTCAGCGTCTTCACCAAGTAGGACTATGTCATCGGCATATTCTAAGTCAATAAGTGAGCCACCTGGTAGAAGGTCTACTCCTGAAAAGTCAGACGAGGATAAGGTTACATCTAGCAGCATGTCTATGATAAAATTAAACAAGAATGGAGAAAGTGGACAACCCTGACGGACACCACTTGATGTAGAGAATTCCGTAGACAGTACGCCATAAGCCCTCACTCGACCAGTGGTGTTCGAGTAAAGGGCTTGTATAAGGTTAATGTACTTATTTGGTACACCTTTCAATGACAGACACTGCCACAGAGCCTCACGATCCACAGCGTCAAATGCCGCCTTTAGGTCCAGGAAGACGACTATTGTAGGACGCCTATATGTGTGTCTGTGTTCCAGGACCTGTCGTAGTGTGAAAATGTGGTCTATACAACCACGTCCAGGTCGAAAACCAGATTGGTTTTCTCGAGTTTGCTCTTCACGAGCTTTCGTTAAGCGTCGAAGTATTACTGAGGTCAATATTTTAGATACTATATTAGTTAGACTTATTCCCATGTGATTGTCACAAGAGGACTTTTGTCCTTTCTTATAGATTGGGACAATCAAGGATTGAGACCAGTCGGATGGGATTACGTCCAGTTCCCAGATTCTACCTAAGATCTCAGTCAACCTATCTGTTAAAACTGGACCATCATTCTTAAATATCTCAGGAGTCAGACTATCAGGACCTGCAGCTCGTCCTCGTTTCAGATTTCCAAATGCTTTCTCAACGTCATTAAGACTAGGGGGACTTAGGTCGATTTGCCATTCAGGATGACTGGAGATCGTGGGTAACTGAAGAGTGGCTCGTGGCCAGTTGAACTGATCCCTAAAGTGTTCTGCCCATCGGTCCAGTCTCCTAGATTGAGAATGGATAATAAGACCATCCTTTTCCGAGATAGTCTCAATTACACTAGGATTCCTAATACCGGTTTCTTTGATAAGGCGGAAAAGTTGTCTACTGTTGCCGATCGCCGCTGCCTTTTCCATCGCTTTTGCTTTCGACACCCACCACTGTTCGCGGTCGTTACGCAGACTTTTTATAAGTCTGCGCTTAAGCTGACTACGCTCTTCATCATGCTCAGAGTCAGGTGAGATGCGTTTTCGAGCATCCATCAGATCGGTGGATGCTACAGAGATCCACAGCTTCATTCTAGCTTCATGGTCAACCTTACTAGCAGATATCACTGCTGTTTCCACAGACTTCTTGATATCATTCCAACCTGCCTCCGGATGGGAATCGCTTAAATGATCTCCTTACTGTCTTTCTAGTTGTTCCTGAAATAAATTTTTCGCCTTACTAGCATTAAGTAAAACCCAAAGAGGCTTCCTTACGGTGTCTTTCCTACGTCCAGCAAGCCTCAAACAAATACGCGCTCGCACTAGGGCATGATCTGAATTTAAACATGTTCCCCAGAACGAGCGACAGTCCTCTATCGAACCTCTCCATCAGTGGCTGATGGCGATGTGATCTAGTTGAGTCTAACGTTGAGACGACTTCGGGGGTCGCCAGGTCAACAGATGCTTTTCCTTATGCCTTAAGTCAGTGTTCGCTAAGAATAGGCGGTTATCTGAGCATAGTTGCAACAGACGGTCGCCATTGTCTGTTCTCTCAGTCGCTACACCATAACATCCACCTAGATGTCTTTCCTTTTCACCTAGTCTACCTACTTGAGCATTAAAGTCACCAGCCATTATTACTATATCAGAGCGCCTAGCTTTTTGGAGGAGGTCCGAAAGCATTCTGTAAAACTCATCTTTAACCTCGTCTGCACTGCAGTCAGTGGGGGCATAGGCAGATATGACGAAGAGGCAACGGCGAGTGTCCCTATCCTTCCGAGTCCTTACTGTCCCGTTTAGTCGGACAGCGCGTAAACGACTATCTACTGGGATCCAGTCAAGGAGAGATAATTCTGCCCTAGGACTCAACGCTATGCCTACGCCAGCAAGACACCTGGAAGCAGCATCAGGGCTTCCAGATACACGAAGAGTGAATCGGGCTGCTTCTTCGTTTTGACAAGGTGGAATCAGGTTAATGACTTTACTAGGATCCTGTATGCGCGTTTCCGAGACGCAGCATACATCGATGGCACGAGTTTGTAAAGTCCTAGCTAATGATGCCTGTTGCCCTATTTGACACAATGTCCGTACATTAAAAGCTCCAACATGTAGTCTAGAACGGGGTTTCAAGAGACCAGGAACGACGTTTCGTGATCTCGCTTCGTCTGCATTAGCGGTGCAGTGAGAAAAGGGAGTATGAGTAGAGTTAGTTGTGGAGAGAAGAGAGGTATGCTTTGGTGTAGGAAGGATTTGATTTTGACCAATTTGGTCTCGCGTGCTGTTACGGGTATGAGGGCGGTTGTCACTTCCCGGCTGCCCACACCGTGGAAGGTTGTTTCTTGAGGGACCTGAAAAGGAAGATAGATTAGTGTTGTTCTTGGAGACCTGGGTGCGTGACCGCAGAGTCCAAGGGACAACTGCTTGAGGCCGGTCACGCACGGCCTTTTTATGAAAGGTATTTAGAGGATTAGCTCCGTTCTTAAAGGCCCTTAGTGGGCACCCTTACACAAGGAGACGGAAATCCGTGAGTTAGGGGAGGTGTGACATTTTTAGGGCCGACCTTTTTCTAACCCTTCCTTCCTTGTGAGAAGGCAGCATCGCTGCAGATGCTGGTTGTCCGAGGGAAACACCTTACTGCTGTCACACCCCTCTGCAGTCAGCAGTACGACTTCGCCCTCAGACCTTGGGTAGCTGCTTTTAGTCTCATCGTTCTCCAATCGACCTGTCTGGCATGGTAGAACCTTGAGGAACATATGTTCCAGCCAGTATAGCTCGGTTGGGTCATCAGGATAGGCAAGCCCGACCACCACGTCAAGGTAGCAGCTACGGTCGGGAGCTTGTATAAGGTTAATGTACTTCTTTGATACACCTTTCGATGACAGACTGCCACGATCCACAGAGTCGAATGTCGCTTTAACGCCCAGTAAGACGACTGTTATCGGACCCTGCTAGAAAATGGATCACCATCCTTAAAAATGTCAAGGGTATGTCTCCCAGGTTTTGCTGCTATCCCTCGCTTCAGATTTCTTATCGCTTTCTCAACGTTGTAAAGATCCAGTTGCTTTCGCTAACCCCCTCTACTGTTCTCGATCATTGCATAAGGGCTGCATAAGGGCTACCTGAAACCGTGTTGTGTCTTTATCTGCATTAGGTGAGATCAAATTGATGATTTTACTCAGATCTTATATGAGCGTTTCGGAGACAACATATATCAACTGCTCGGGATTCGAGTTCTAGCTAATGAAGCCTGTTGCCTTATCTGGCAAAGGGTTCGAACATTAGAAGTTCCAATATGTGATTTAGTACGGGGTTTCAAGAGACCAGGAATAACGTTTCGTGAGCTCGAACCGTTTGGTTCAGTGGCGTAGGGTGATGAAAGATCAAAGGAAGAGTTGGTTGGGGAGATGAGAGTTATCAGGTGTAGAAAAGATTGACTGTGACCAATTTGATCTCGTGTGGTTTTATGGGTGTGAGGACTAAGTTAAACACGACTAAGTTAAACAAGAATGGAGAGAGTGGACAACCCTGACGGACAACACTCGAAGTAGAGAACTCCGATGACAGTTCGCCATAAGTTCCCACTCGACCTGTCGGGTTCAAGTAGACAGCATGTATCAGTTTAATATATACTTATTTGGTACGCCTTTTAATGACAGACACTGCCACAGAGCCTCACGATCAGCAGAGTCGAGTGTCGAGAAATACTACTATTGTGAGGCGTCTGAACGTGTGTCTTTGTTCTAGGACCTGTAGTATTGTGAATATTTGGTCTATACAACCACGTCCAGGTCGAAAACCAGATTGGTTTTCTCTAGTCTGCTCATCGCGAACTCTAGTGAGGCGTCGAAGTATTACTGAGGCCAATATTTCAGAAACTATGTTACTTAGACTGATTCCTATGTGATTGCCACAAGAAGACTTTTGTCCTTTTATGTAAATTGGGACAGTCAGCGATTGAGACCAGTCAGATGGGATTACGTCCAGGTCCCAGATTCTGCCTAAGATTTCAGCCAATCTAGCTGCTAAAACTGGACCACCGTCCTTATAAATCTCAAGAGTTTGCCTATCAGGACCTCCTACTCCAACTCGCTTCAGATTTCATATCGCTTTCTCAACTTCGTAAAGACTAGGAGGACTTATATCGATTTGCCATTCAGGATGACTGGAGATCGTGGGTAACCGGAGTGTGGCTGAAGACCAGCCGAACTAATCCATGGATTGTTCTGCTCATCGATCCAACCTCCTCTTTTGAGCATGAATCATAAGCCCATCCTTTTCTGAGATGGTTTCGCTGACAGATGGATTCCTAGTGCCAGTCTCCTTGATAAGTATGAATAGTTGCCTACTGTTGCATATCGCCGCTTTGCCTTAGCTCTTGCTAGCGAAATGGTTAGATAGGTTATTGAAATCCAATCCGCAATAAACTGTAAGTTTTCTTTAGTGGAACATCTGAACTAATTGATTTTTCTGATGATATCATTATCAAAGAAAATACTATGAATTGTTATCGCTTTCATCAATGTACCTTCAATAACAACTGTTAATTTTCCTCCCGACTTTATGTGAAGTAATTTCGTTCTTTCGTATTCGGTCAACCCTGTTGAAAGAACTACTTTTATTTGTACTGAAAAAGATCATTTCATTTCTGAAGTTGAACACTACCAATATGTTGATAGCATTGCTGCGTCTTTGTGACCTCACTTAGCTAATGTGTTAAAAGCATACATCGGAAATATGTTGAGTGAGATCATCGGAGAGGCTAATCTGAACAGTGGATATGCGGATGATTATTTAATTCAGTAAGAAAGATTCTATGTAAACTTCAAAATAATATTACTGATATAGTTTACAGATGTTAATTAATTTTACTCAGGTAGTTTTAATTTATCACTATGGGACATCAAGTTAGATATATTTGTCCGACCGAAGCACTAAAAAACAATATGTTGTGAGCAACATGCACCTACCAACTAACTAATCCTACGCCTCGGCATGTCGAATATCGACAATATAGACTATTTAAAACTGTCAACCTATCTATAGTAGCATAGATAAACAAACGAGCCGTAATTGTTGCGTCAGGAAAGTCATGTGAAGGAATTTTGAAATCAACCATAACGTCGACAACCGTTCTCAGTAATGTAATAAAACAGTTGTATCTAACAGCACCAAACGCACTTCCGGAGTGAATAGCAGTGTGTACCCGACATCCAATATCTTTCTCACGAGGTAGCATAAAACAAGTGATTTCTTTGCACTCGAATCTTGTTCTTTCGGTTCCGTTCAACGTGTTTGGTGGTATCCAATGGACTGCCTAATTATAGTAAGTCGGAACTTGCTCGGGAGATTGTATGTCCAGTGATTTCAATGAGTATGTTAGTTACAGGGTAGTAGGGTTTGTGGATACCAGCAGCTATCCCGTTACCAGGCCGGAGATCTGTTAACTGTGAAGAATAATAAAGATTAAATTCTAATGCTAGTAAGAAGATTTCACAACTAAGTAAATAAATGGATAATTTAGTTTGTTGATTGGTAGTGAAGGTTGTGAGAGAGGACTGAAATGTAAGCAAGGGGGAGGAAACAGAGATAATAAGCCTGATAGATTCAATCAGTGATCTAAGGAGATGGCAATATCAACGACTAGCAAGTCCCAAGGCATGCATCAGGCACAGGTTGTCCACGCAGGAAATGATTATCCGTATTTGATTCTCCCGTAACGCTGGAGGAATAGTCCCAAAAGTACGAGTCTCCAACCCTATCACCCATTTCGGTGCTTGTCTCTGCACTCGATCCAAGAGATTTATGTGTCATTTAAGGAGAGAGGGTGAGACAACGTCCTCCATATGGTTTGGACTGTTGTGGAGGCTTTCGGTCGTTATCAAGCCGATATCGCGCTCCGAGGAAAATTTGGGAAGAGGAATTCTGTAAAGGGTGCAAATCATTTGCGTCATGTGGGGCAGCATGTTCATGATGCGACATCTCAGCTGGTTTAGTTTTAAATCGTTTTTCGCTGCCCATCCCTCAATAGATGTAATGTCCTTTCGAATTTCAGTGGAATCCTCTTCGCTTCTTATGGACCTCCAGATCGATGAAGTTTGTGTTGAAGATCTTAGCCATCTATAGGTTGGTGAGGTCCCCTCCATTCGGACTTTCCAGAGAACACAAAACACTATTCTTGGGTTTTCTTCGTCATAAACCTAAATAGGTGCTCAGAGTTTTCAGGTATTTCGGCCGCTAGCATCATCTGAAAGCGTTTCTTATCAATTCGAACTCTGGTATTGCAACAGTTTTTCAACGCCAAGCAGTAAGCACGGCCGGAATCATTCAGAGGGACCTTTCACTTGTGCTATGCTCTCCTCTTAGCTTGTAGCAAGCATCCAATGCTGCGCCAGTATTCTGGATGATATCTACCATATATATATATATATAGTAGTCTTTCATCTTTAAATGGCTCTTTATTATTATTATTATTATTATTATTATTATTATGAATGTATGTAGTCACTCTGTCTCCTATTTGGTGTATCCTATCGCTTCGGATGACTA